ATTGAATGACCTGAGCATCCTCAGGAAGAACAGCTTGCTCTGTCCCTTCCTGAAGAGAGCATCAGTGTTGTCTGACCAGTCCAGTTTATTGTTCAAGTGCACTCCCAGGAACTTTTAGCTGTTCACCACCTCCACATGACAAAACAAAATGTTTATATTTATGCTTGGATATGATACAATTCGATGACATTACCCTCAATTCCCAGTTAGTTCCCACCAATTCCCATAAATCCCATGGAAAGTTTCCAATATGGAATATTTCCAAAATTCCCCAGCTTAACTTCCCATGGAAATGTACTGGAAATGTTCCACGCCTTTACAACCCTAGTTATAATTAGTTCTTAACTCAAGTCCTAAAGGAGGGTTGAGTATGAAGCGTAGACTGTTTATTTCAAGCACAGAAATAACCTAATAAGTCTTATTGTGTATTTTTACTTTGTCCTTATTTCATGGTTTCCCTGAGACCCTCCTCCCAAAAGGCCCCACTGGGTTTTGAACCCAGGATATCCTGTTTTAGACAGGCGCTTTAACCATCTAACCCACAACCGCAGCCTGATATGGCCCCACTAGAAACCAGTATCTTACTTCTGATATTCTTTAGCAAAATGCATATTAGTGCAACTAGACTTTTGTGACTGAATATGTCCAGATATTTGAATTAGGATTTGACTCGATCAAATCAATACGACTGCTTGTTAATTAATAACCTAATTTGCTCCTGTGGGTATTGTAATAACTGTTACATATGTGTAATATGTCATGTAAAGCGCTTTGAGCACCTGGAAAAGCGCTCTAATACATTTTATTTATTTGTATGAATTATTAATTATAGCAGGTAAATAAAAAAAGGGAAACTTTAAAATTAATATTATTTATACACCCTTTCACCAAGAACAGGCTCCATGTTGAATATAGTTGATTTGAATGCTAATGTGCTTAATGTAAATATTAATCTTGCATTTGTATTTTAATTGAGTATTCCTTTTAGATGTATTATATGTGTTAGTGTTCTTATACATTGCTGTGCTTATACAAAAGTTACATGTTGTTGCTTCAACTAATATCCTGCAGATGTCGCTGTTCAACTTTAAGGGATATTTGATTTCTAAAAGAATATTATTTTTGAGCTATTGTCAAGTTAATATCTAGATTTGTTTTTAATTAACCTGTATTGGGTACAACAAATCCCAGGACTATCACAATACATACATGTTTTTTTATATATATATATATATTATTTGTATTCTTGTTTATTTGTGTTTGTACCTTTCTAATTGTATTTTTACTTATTTAATGGTTTGTGAGCAGAGTTGTGTGATTTTTGTATTGTTTTTATTTGTCTGTGCTTTAAAAATAAAGCTGTATTGTAATCCGAAGGTATTTACAGATGCTTTGTTGACATGTCACATCCTCATTTAGTGCTAAGTTAAATGGTGTTGATATGTATAGGTTAATATAGTTGTTCTCTTCCCCATTCACCTGTAGTATCTCCCATGACAGATTTACAGAGTTTATTTATATAGAACCATTTACTACCCACCTGACTGTTGTTATGGTTTCGCTGTCGTAAAACTGCTGTAAGTCAGACTGTTGTGACAGGAGACGTGACGTTAGCGCGTGCGTTAGCCAGCTCAGCTAGCCGTTTAAAAAACTGTCAGTTGAGCGGAGGATGTAACGTTTATTTTATACAATAAATACAAATACACCGTTAAAATACCAGCGTTAGTTTAGCAGACACCGACTGGATGGGAAGGGAGACACAGGAGGAAATCCCTGGTGTTAAGTCTGTGGGGAAACCATTTTATTTGTCAATGAATTCGTCACATTCTCTCGTCTTGTTAGCTTGATCAAGCTACACGCTAGCTCTGTGTCGTGGATGGGTTCTCCTCACAAGTTACTCCTGGAAGAAACCTAGCGAACATCATGGACACTGCAGAAGAAGGTAAATGACTATAAAGTGTTTCTTTTCAATGCTTCCCAGCGGGGGGGTTTACTGTGGTTAGCTTCGTAGAGTCGCTTGGCCTGCTAGTGGTTCACTTAGCCGAATAGCATAGCTTAATATGCTGTAGTGGTTCAGGTTAAATCAAGGAAATGACTGTTGTTTTGAATGCACTAAATGCAGGGTGAAGCAACAGTATAATAGAGATTGTAGAAAGGACTAGACGAAACTGGTGATGTCATCAGTCTCGTGGTGTATCAGAATCAACAACAAATGGCAAATACTAAATTCAAAGTTGAGCTGAGAGCTGTGCAGATTTAAAAAGAGGTGGAGAAATGTGCAACATGGTGTACAGGATTTGGATTGTTAAAAGGAACAAGTTGTATATTGTGCATTCATGTAATGCATCATATTGTTATGGTGTGTATATGTATGTGACCATATTGATGACAAGCCAGTGGAACTAGATGAATGCAAAGTTAGCAGCTTATCTGAATATCAGTCGTTACCTTCAGAGTCCTGAAAGAAACCTGCATATCAACTCAGTCCCTTTACTCTCTGTCGCATCAGCCTGTTGCACTCCTGACACAATTAGACCTGTTTTAATTCTGTATATTCACTGTTTTACAAACTGAACACTTCAATACATATATACAATTCACAATATTAATATACATGCATTACATTACTCTGTGTTTACATTGCATATATTACTTGTCATGCTTATAGAAATGTGCTAAATTAGTGTTTACATCTACAAACATAAATTCATTACTTTCATTTTGCATATATTTTCATTTTGGACTGAACCATTTATTGGGATTTATTTGAAATAACAAAATGGACTACAGCTGCAACGATACATTGAAAAGATCACAAACTTTTTTTTATTTTGTTTATTTTGAATAGATCCCAAAAAGGCAGATAATGCTGTTCTGAGCGTCTGCTTTGTTCTAAATAATCATCAGATTCATTTATAACGATAATAAGAAGCCCTAAATTAGACTAGAGTGCAAATGGCTAATGCTCAATGTGTTAAAGGCCCAGTACGTGCCAAATAACCCATCCTGAATTAAGTGTTGTGCTTCACTGTAGTTGTTGTTCATATAATAAAATGCTTGAAACTAACACACATGTTTTGTGTGTGTGCAGCGGATATTTGTCGCGTGTGCCGCTCTGAGGGGACCCCCGACAAACCTCTCTACCACCCTTGTGTCTGCACTGGCAGTATCAAGTTTATCCACCAGGAATGGTAAGTGTGTTTGTCTCTTCAGCTTCTTTATGTCCCACATTACTCCCCCTTTGTGTGGTATTTGCAGGGTGAAAACGATACGAGCCCCCTGCAGGTATTTTGAAGAGCATGTTGTTTCTATGTGTGAATATCACTGGTTATAGAGGGTCAGGTGAGGGGAAACCCCCCAGGCAGAGGCCAGGCCTGGATTGTTCTGTGCTGATTGTTGAACATCGGTGTGTTTTAGTTTGCATCCACCCCCACAAAGTTTAGAATGACAGTCTATTGTGTATGAATTGTGTAGTTGTGCTGACTATACGCAGGCTGCAGCTAACCTTAGCTATGTTTATCTTATGTCATTCTTACTAATTAAAAAAAGAATTGCTCAAACCCAAAACAACGTTTAGGTAGCAGACACACCAGAATGAGTTTCTTCTTTTTAGCTGATCATCTGCTTCATCATAAGGCCAGTTTCTCACAGATGAGCATCTGTTGTGGACCTATGATACTGATCACTGTACAACTTATTTCTGAACGGAACAAACTGCATTAAAACACTTGCAAAGTATAATTGCGTTTGGTCTTGGGGAGATGACTCCTGGTGACAAACCTTGTGAATGTTTGAGCATCAGAGTGGAAACATTAACAGCTGTTTGTCTGCACCGAGAACGATGAAACTTTTAAACACAACTGTAAATACAACGATGTAAGCATCCACAATGAATGATGAATAATGTTCTGTTCAGAAACAATCGCGCCAAACATGCAGTCCTCTCCAGCTGTGTCAGAGCCCAAAAATAGATATCGATGACTGTTGCTGCTGTACGTTGGGCAAAAGAATAATTAAGATAAGGTTATGAAAACAGAGTGAAAACCAGTTTTGATGCAGCAAGAGATAGATATGTTGTTGACTGAAGAAGTAGGCTTGACTTTATTTCCTTTTTTTATGTTATTTGATTGGCTGTTAGTGTTTCTATCAAATTGTAATCCCATTATTGTTTGCCACTTGCTATTTCCTCACTGTTGTAGTGTTTGGACCCTTTAATTGAAGCTGGACCTTTTTTAAAAAAAAATGCTATATTTAAAGTTACAGGTATTGGTGTGGATGACCTTTAACCCTGTTCTGTCTTTAATGCTGTCATATGTGTTGGAATCAGCTGTTGTAATGACTGTAACGCAGATGGTAATCCTTGAGTCTAGTCATGGTCACAACAAGTTATTATGGACGACAAAAAGTGCAAATCAGCTCAGAAATAATTGATATCTTTCCATGTTCATCAGAGATAGAATGACTAAAACGTTAAGTGCTCTGAGTCAGTGTTTTCATCACATCATATCCGATTATCTCAGGTCAATACTACAGACTCACAATGTTGACATCCCAGACTCTGGTTGTTCCTATTGATCTGTGCTCTGCAGGAGTTCTCCATTACTATTGATCTCAAACAGTGAAAATGCCAAGCAGCTCATGTTTTATCGTGTTGAATCGTGTTCTACTTCTGACTCAATGTTGCTTTACAGTTTGGTCCAGTGGCTGAAGCACAGCAGGAAGGAGTACTGTGAATTATGCAAGCACCGATTTGCTTTTACACCAAGTGAGTAGTCGTGGCCTTGATGGGTTAGCCATTTGAATATATCACACAGCCCAAAGTGTCCTAAACAAGCCTCCCAGATGGGGCCATGAAGTTCTTTTTGTATCAACATGTAAATAGGAATGAAATGTTGTGGTTCACTCTGTCCCTGTCCGCTCCTCGTCAGTCTACTCCCCGGACATGCCCTCACGTCTGCCCATCCAGGACATCTGTGCCGGGCTGCTGACCAGCGTGGGCACGGCCATCCGATACTGGTTCCATTACACACTGGTGGCCTTCGCTTGGCTCGGGGTGGTTCCTCTCACTGCATGTAAGTAGTGCACACACACACACACACACACACACACACACACACACACACACACACACACACACACACGGGAGAGGTGAGGAAACTGGCAAGCGTCACGGACTG